ATTTCATATATATAAAAAACTCACCACTTGGAATATCTTAGTATTAAGATGGTTTTATGCTGAGATATTGGAAAGCTTTTGTCATGTCAATAAGTGACGCACATGGGAATATCTTTTTATATATAAAATGCGCATATGTGGCTTTAACGAAGGGCTATGTAAAATATATGTTAGATTCACTCCGATTCAGTTTTCACTTTGATTCGATCCGAAAAATTTAGATATATGTTATAAATCAAAGCGAAACAAATAGTAAAATTTAGTATCCGTCTAAAACGAATCAAATCACAAATACTAATTTTAAAAATCTGAATATCTCATCCGTATATTACTTCTAATTGAGCATACCATCTTCTCTCTCTTAGTTTCTTATTATATGTATCTTTAGAAGCATAAGCAGAGGCAGCATGGGTGGTCTACGGATTTTAAAGCAAAGGAAAATGTAGTCCATATAGAATTGATGACCAAAACAAACAAAACAAAGTGAGATTGAAAAATAAAAACGGTACAGATCAGGAAGAAGATAAGAACAAAAAGTATTACATAATGTAGAAAATTACAATGCGTTTAAAGCAAAACGTAGACAACAAATCGCACACGAAGATGGCAGAGACGGTGATGACACTTACTCAAACCATGTATGTGGCACAGGAATAAGTACACAATGTCTTATTCTTATTTTTATTTTTGAAAAAGACTTTGTATAGACATCGGCCTCCATCACACCTACGGCCATGGCAAAATGGCCGAGACATGGTATTGTTGCGAACAATATTAACCTCCTCCTGATAAATATTTATGTTGTAACCAGGTTTCATATACGGGTTTTTCCCAAGCAAACAACTAACATGAAGAGTGGTGCAGCAGTAGTCATCACACGTATAGAACCCTTTTACTTCTGAATATACTATTTTTCTTTCACATACTTCACACCAGCCTGATTGATGACTTGCCTCTTTCCCATCCCGAAATGTTAGAAGATGTTTGTCATGCTTATACCTTGCCTTATATGGTGAGAGAGCACACTTGAAACATATAACATAATTGCATTCGATGCAATTTAGCTTTCTACAAGAATAAGAATAATTACCAGTATCTTGGCAAATTTTACATATTGCCGATCTTTCTTCTTCAGGCTTTAAAGCTAAGAATAAAGGATGCTCATGGCCTTCATATGTAAACGGTTCGGAAACCGAAGCACACCGTAAGTCTAGTTTGAATCTCCGACCTCCTACGAGATTCTCATAGATGAAACCACAACTTTCACGCCGACAAGCATCACAACTGAAGTAACCTTGGTTCCAGTTATATTCACTAGTGACAACCTTTAGCTCGAGTGAGCGAGCATGCAACGGATGATGTTTTTTTAGGGGCGCGTTGGCACATGTTTCATGTAGGATGAAGTCACAATGATCCGCACATGAATAATAACTACCTTCGTAAATTGGAATGATGCAAGCTTGACAATACTTATCTTCATCATAAACTGTACTGATCTCGAGTTTCAAATTATGGCCATGAGAAAAATGGAGGATGATTCCATCTGCTATCTTCTCGAAAGGCTCCACAACTATCTCAGGTTCTTCGGGTACTCCTTCGAGCTCTTCCCCATCCCACAAGTCTCTCCGTATTGCACATCTTGAATGAACAAAATAATCAGCACACTTGTTGCAAGAATACCCACCACAATCGTTTTCAACCTTTTGTCGACAGACTCCGCAAGACAATTCTCCGGATGGAAGAGAATAGACAAAAGAGATACGGTGCTGGTGACGAGATATTCTTATGACATATGGGAAATAGATACAATCTTGATGAACTACGAAAACACATCGAGCACAAACATAGGTGGGCATAAGTGCTCTAATCACACCACAAACACTGCATTGTAAGGAATTCTGTTTGGGGAAAAAGGTGAGAGAATGGAGATGCCTTTTCGGGTGGTTTATGAAAATGGGTATTGGCTTCATGGCACAAAAAGGATGCATAATGAAATTGGAAGTAGGACAATGGAAAACCATGCCAGTGACCGAATTCTGACAAGAGATGCACCTCCAAATGGAGTTGAATCTTTCGGAAGACATGTACAGTTTGAGAGTAAGAAAAGGATAGGAAGGGTGTTTAATCTCAAGCGGGGACTCC